TTCACCCCAGTATTTAGTCTAATACCATATCTTGTAGAGTGTGCCTTCTTTAAGTACATTGATGTTTTCCAGCTGCAGACCGTTTAAACTACAAATGGGTAAGAAGGGAAAAGTTGGTCCAGCTTTCTTTTCCCAGGGTACAAAGAGACCATACAGCTCTGTCTTATTTTCTGCCTTCAAGGCTTTTGATACCAGTATTCAAAGCATACCCTGAAGGTATATCTGAAAAGACCCAGAAGCAGAGCTGTTGTTCTTCACTTTGGTTAAGATAAACAGGACTGTGAGGGTTTTTCTTGATGTATTCAGGAGTTGGAAGAGACTGGGATGTTTCCCCTTCATCTGTTAAGCTGGTAGAACATCTCTTACGTATTAAATGTCAGTAGTGATGATGTTCCTTAGTCAAGGTAGATTTTATATTTGATGCCGTAAGATGCGATTGTGCATTCTCATCAATATTCTCCAATGTTCCTGCTGATTCAGGCTGCTGAGGTTAAGCAGTGTTAGGAAAATCACTTCTTTAAAGCAGCATGGGAGTTCTTGTGGCTGCAGAATTGGTTTAGTTGTACAAGTGCCACTCACTGTTGCTATACCTCCCACAACACAGGAAGTGGGGTTTTTTCCTGATCTTCACAAGGTACGCATTGCTGCGGAACAGAAACCTGAGTTGCAAGTAGAGAAATTTTGCCATGGGGAAACAAAGAGGATGCTGGTTTCAATGTTAGTTGCTTTGAGCCAGAATTGTTCCCCTTATTATCTTTGTACCATTGCTAACAAGTTCGGTTATCATGGCATTTCTTGGGGTTTGGCTCTTGTGGTGCATATAAAGAGAAATGCAAATACTCATCAGTCTGCAACATTTCCCCCTACCTCAGTCTGTTTTATTGTGTGCTTGCTTGGACGTAAATGAATGCTGTCACCTGTCTTTGAGTAGCCAGCCATTGGATGGGACATCTGGCTTTGCTTTTTCAAAGGCTGATGTTCTCCCCATCAATTACAATGAAAATGGCATTATTTCAAGACCTTCCTGAGGACATAGCTTGTCTTTCTCCTCTCTGAACTCGGACTGTACTCAGTACTCAGTTACTAAGAGCAACTTTGTATGTATCAGCCAGTTGTTGATACAAACAGCCTGAAAATGTTAATAGCAGTGGGAAAGAAACTGTTGCCACTTCTCTGTTTCAACTACAGTTAATTTTGCTAATTTGCCTGCATGTGCTATGGAGTTTTCCTGTATTAATGAGTGCTTTCCTCAATTATTGTTAAAATGCCAGCATGCTATAAAAACATGGGATTTGTGGGGTTTGAACTTCAATATGACTTTATCACTGAATTGGGACAGGATTTTACTCATGTGCAAGAGCATCTTTTACTCTTCTTTGACCTGTCTTAATTGTTTTACATTTCAGGTTTGATATTTACATTATTCTTTTTATTATTTGCTCAGTACTTTCACTGTAATTCCTCTTTCAGTTATATTTCTATTCTCTGCTAATACCACAGCATACATAATACCATCAAACTCATTTTTCATCCTGGTCAAACAAAATAGTCTCGGTCTGCTTTTGTAGCAGTAAATCTTGGTTCATCATATGCCTTCACAAAAGTAATCAAAGATTTTCTACAATCCTGAAATGCCTGAAACTTTTTTTTTTTCCAGGAAGCTAAAACCTGTAACATTTTATATTGCCATAAATTATTTTTGTCCCGTGTAGCTTGAGCTACTTTCCCTCTCCTACCTGTTTGCTTTCAAGACCTATTTTGCTTTGGTGCTAATGCCTGTTAGGTCTTTTTATGAAAAAAGTTAACTCCCTAGCCCTGGGGAAGAGAAGTTAATTTTTGTCTGGGTTAATGAATTATCCCACTCAGCAAGTCTGATGAATGTCAGAGCTGGCAGGTAGACAGAGGCCAGGGAAAGTATTTGAGAGAATAAGAAAACCCATTTTAGTCTCCCGAGGCTGCCTCATGTAATTTCACCTCATTTTACAGCATTTACTTGACTTTGTTAGGAAAGGCAAAAGAGTGTGGTTAGTTTCTTTGAGCTTCCCTTCTTGCTTTCCAAATAGATTGTGAGAGATATTCAAGTTAAAAGTTATTTATTCTGACAGTTATTTATTTAATTTCACTATCATCTAAAGGTTTTGATTAAAGCTACAGATTAAACAGAGTACATTGTTTCATTGTTGTATTTTTCTTTCTGTTAATAATTTTTCTGTTCTTGAAGTCAGGGAAACATAATCTGCCATGTGTCTATTTGACTTGTTTGCTACCTCACATTAACATCCTTCCTGAATAACCTTTACCATAGGTGAGCATCAGTGTTCACTGTTTCTGTGGCATTTTTTAAAATTACTTTAGAAGGCGCCTTGTGAGGTATGGCTAGGAGTAATCCATGATTCAAGCATATTATCTGCAAAACTTAATAATAAAGATTCAGGTTAAACCACATTAATCCTGATAGTTTTCTTCATCTCTCTACTCTGTGAAACAAGTGAGTTCTCCATAAGCTCATTCAAAAAGTATTTTCTGATCATGTGGGTTTAGTACAGCATAAAGAACTATGGGGGATACCCAAAGAAGACCTAACATGACACTTCCAGGGAAAGCGCTACAAAACCTGATGTGAATTTGTGTAGAAGACTAACTCTGGTGTGAAGGGAAATCATGGATAACTTTCTGCTTTTGAACTCCATGAAAATACTCTCTACTCTGTTGATATATTAATTATGTGCTGACAGTAAGGAATTGCATCATCTCTTGACCACGGTAGGTAATTTTCACTCTCTTCATAATGCTTCAGTTGATACTTCTAAAGCATATAGTGTGAAGTTACTTAATCACTCAGTAATAACTGAAGTCTGTAAAAAAGGAAAAATGGCAAATGCGTACATCTTTTGTATGTGTTTTGAAATACATAAAAACTGGCCTGTTCTCTTGCAATCTACTATGTTACTCTGCAGTGAACTTCTGCTAGCTGAGGGAGGCATAACTTTTCACAGACTGAAGTTATTAAAACCAGGCTGACACCAAACCTCTATGAACAAATTGGACGGGGGGAAAAAAGGGTTGGCAAGGAAAAGTTCTTTAAAAATAGAATTTCTGTTAATTGCAGAGTTAGTACATTAAGCATGGAACTAACTCCAACAGTTTTTTTATGGCCTTAACTGAAGGATCTGTAGCTAACTGTTTTCTTCTTTTTGGGGGTGGGATGGAATGTGCGAGTCAAAGTAAAAGCCATAAGGAGGAATTGTCATTGCTTTTCCTAGAAATATAAAAACTATACTATAAACCTAATCTCGTATATTTTACACCAACCAACATGTATGTTCAATAAATCTAGAAGGTAAATCTATTTCTACTTAGGTGCTTATAAAATGCAGAAGTTGCGATTTTAGGTAACAAGGTAAAAAGGTTAAATTGGTCTAGTTGTTTCATTGGCATTGGGACTATCCTGTTCCTTGTCAAGTGCAGAGGATGAATATAGCTCTTTGATAACAGCACAAAGTGAGGCATGCTCTCAGCTTTGTCCTCAGGAACAGTGGATGAGTCAGAAAAGGAGAGTGAGAGGGGCTTAGTGCTGTTCCTGCTATCACGTTTGTACCACTATCTAGGGTAGCTTCAGCATCGTTTTAAACTGGAACAGATCGTTCCAAGGGTGCCCTCTGTGGGAGATGAGTGGGCTTAGGAATCCAGATGAGACACCACTGCCACCGCTAAAGATGTGAAAGAAGGACTAGGGTGTCTTTTTCCCCAAAGCTATTAGTTGGCCTGAAGTAACATATTACCTATGGCGAAGGAGGACTCCGAGCTAAAGGCACAGAGATCTTTGCTGGACTGTCCCTTTGGGGAGCAGCTGCTTTATGCAAAACAGTAAAGCATGCTCTTGAAGCCTATTACTTGAAGATGCAAGCTCTGGGCATGCTAAAGAATCTACACTGTACTTGATTTCTGTAGTCAGTCTCTATCACAAACTCAGAGTAAAGAGCACAAATATACTGCCTGCCACATTTAATGTAACAGAAGCAGAGGCATGGGACTGAAAGGCTTTCTTGATTACTTGCTGTCATGGTTGTTCCAGTCTTGGTGGTCCCAAAATTCAAATCATATTGTTTGAATGAGACATTAAAGTATGAAACACATGAGAGATGAACAAATGTGAAAAACATGAACTAGAATACTTCTAGTTTTATAACCGCAAACTTGTGAGAAAGCTATTAGGTCTTCTTGTACCTATCTCTGTCAAACCGAGGAGCTCTCGCTAAACTTCTGTTCCCCAGCGACTGGTACTAGAACACAGGTGTTAATCTACACACAGTGGGCACCTCGATTTTTATTTTGTTTTCTTTTATAAGCTGCGTTCCCTGATTGTTACAGCTCTTATCTGGGGATATTTTTTTCAAATAGCGGATGTTGAAATAAATGCAGCAACAAATGTAGCAGCGCCCAATACCGAGGGAATACAGCTGCTCGGGAGTTCCCCATGGCAGGTGCTGCTGTCGCTCACCTCCTTCTCAATCGCTGCCTCCCGGGAGAGCGCCCCAGGCTCGGAGCAATCTCTCGGTATCGGTTCACCGGCGCTGCAGGGCTTTGCCCACCGCGCGCTGCTTTACAACGAGGCGGCGCTTCCTTGGGGGAATTTCTCTTCGTCTTCACCGCCCACCGCTAGTCTGCGGCCACTCGCGGGCTGGGCCGGCGGCATCCACCGGCGGCGGCCTCTCCTCCCGGCACCGCCCAGTCAGGGCTCCTGCAGCATTCTGGGAACTGTAGTCCAGGGACAGCAAACCCGCGGAACGGGGCTGCCTTGACGAACTGCGTTACCCAGAAAGCTTCGCGCGGCCACGCCCTGCTGCGGTTTGCCCCTGAAGGCGTTGACTCGAGAGGGGCAGAAGGCGAGGGTGGGCCAATAGCGGGCCGAGGAAGGGCGACCCTGTGGGCTCGGGGCCAATGGGAGCGCGCCAGTAGCCCGGGCGGGGCGGGGTGGCTGTTGCCGGGCGGCTCCGGGCGGAAGTGGGGCAGCCGGGCGGAGCGGGCGTGTGTGCGGGTCGGCCCGGGCTGCGCCTCCTGCCCGTGCGTGAGCTGCGCCCCGAGCCTCGGGGCCGTGGGCTGGGAGCGGCACCAAAGAGGCTGCTCCGGGATGGGGGAATGGAACGGGATGGGATGTGGGAGCGGTAGCGCCGGGAGGGAGAAGAGCTGCTCAGGGTACGGGGCTTTGTAAAGCAGCGACTTGCGCGTGTGTTAAGGGCGTCGCTTCTGTCCCTGCAGGTCTACGAGAACCCGGACTCCAGGTATCCCGGGATGACCGCCTGGGTGCCTCCCGATGCGCTGGGTCGGAGGGTCTCGTGTGGCACCGACTACGGGACTGTGCGCTATATGGGCAGCGTGGCTCGTACATCAGGTAAAGGTCACAGAAGCAACTGTCTTTACATCTAATGGCTGTTCTCAAAGTTCTATTTATGTGCTTCTTTAAAAACCATTGTCAAGCAGAATGAAAACGTCAAGTAGAATGTTGTCTTTTCCTCGTTGTTCTTGTGTAAATATGGCAACATCTGGATAAGTTGCAGGAGTTTTTTTAGAAGTTAGAGTTGTCAAAAGGAGTGCAAGAAGTACTTTGGGCTGAGGTTGGTTATTTTTTTTCTTACAGCAGAAAGGTCTCAGTGCCTTCTTTTTTCCATTAGTTTTCACAAACAGTGCTGGCATTGTCAGGGAAGGTGAGAGAGAGGCAGGAGGAGATCAACAGATGGGGGTCCTCCTTTGATAACATATTGTTTTGGGTTTGTAGGACAAGGCTTTGATGGAGGGGGGGCTACAGGGGTGGTTTCTGTGAGAAGCTGCTGGAAGTTTCCTCCATGTCTAACAGAGCCAATGCCAGCCAGCTCCAAGATGGACCTGCATCTGGCCAAGGCCGAGCCCATCAGCAATGGTAGTAACACCTCTGAGATAACATGTTTAAGAAGGGAAAGGAAAAAAACATCATTGTGCAGCAGTAGTTATGGCCAGAGAAGAGAGGAGTGCGAATATGTGAGAGGAACAACTATGCAGACACCAAGAGCAGTGAAGAAAGAGGGGGAGAAGGTGCTCCAGACTCAGCCAGAGCTGAAATTCTCCTGCAGCCCATGGAGATCAACAGGGGTGCAGAGATCCACCTGCAGCCCATGGAGGAGATGCATGCTGGAGCAGGTGGATGCCTGAAAGAAAGTGGTGACCCCATGGGAAGGCCATGCGGGAGCAGGTTCCTGGCAGGACATGTGGACCCGTGAAGAGAAGAGCCAACACTGAAACAGGTTTCCTGATAGGACTTGTGACATTCTGGAGTACCCACGCTGGAGCAGCCTGTTCCTGAAGGACTGCACCCCATGAAAAAAGGGTTCCACACTGGGGCAGTTCGTGAGGAACTGTGCTGTAGCCTGTGGGAAGGACTCATATTGAGGAAGTTTGTGGAGTACTGGCTGCCATGGGAGGGACTCCACATTGGAGCAGGGAAAGGATTCCTCTCCCTGAGGAGGAAGCAGTGGCAGAAACGACCCGTGATGAGTTGGCTATAACCTCCATTCCCTGTCTCCCTGCGCTGCTGAGGGGAAGGATGTAGAGCTCAGGAAGGAGGGAGGGTTGGGGGAGGGAGGTGTTAAGATTTGTCTTACTTCTCATTATCCTACTCCGATTGGTAATAAATTCAATTAATTATCCCAAGTTGAGTCTGTTTTGCCCATGACGGCAATCAATGGGTGATCTCTCCCTGTCCTTGTCTCAACTCGTGAGCCTTTCATTATATTTTTTTTCTCCCCTGTCCAGCTGAGGAGGGGAGTGACACAGTAGCTTTGGTGGGCACCTGCTATCCAGCCCAGGTCAAATTTATGGAGACAGATAAGACTCAGCTTAGCTTGTGGAAAGATCTGGCCAGTCTGACAGTGAGAGTCAGATGACTACGTCATCTTTGAAAAATTGTGGTGAAAGGATGGGGAGATTGCTGATGCCCAGAAGAAGACCAGCCTTGCATACAGCTCTAAAAGAGGCAAGAAGGATGACCAGGGAACTGTAGACTCATCAGCTTCTATTTCTGGAAAGACCATGTAGCATGTTCCCTTGAAGTCCATTTCCAGGCCTATGAAGGAGAAGATGGTAGTTGGGAATATTTAATACTTGTAAAGAAGAATAAGTTGTGCTTGGCAAACCTAATTACCTCTGTGATTATATGACTGGGAATGTGGACAAAGGGAGAGCAAGGAATGTAACATTCCTTGACTTTAATAAGTCTGTTAATAGTGTGTCCATAAAGAATCTTTTTTGGAAGCTGGAGAAATACAAGCCAGCTTGTATTTCTCCATTCATTGGAGAAATGAATGGACTATTAAAGTGCGTTGAAAGTTGTGAAGCGGAAAAGTGGTAATCGATGACTTGATATCAGGGAATGAGTGAGTACTACAGAAGTAAAGGCTGGGGTCTGTATTGATTCATGTATTCATTAGTGTCTCAGGTGATGAACAGTGTTCACCCTCAAATGGCTGCTGTGACAAGAGTTAGAATTGCAATCCAGATCAAGCTTTATGAACTTTGGGTTTGAGCCCAAGAGATTCAAGAAAGATAAATTTCCACATGTAGTGTATCAGTATGGACCAGGAAGCACTAGCAACTCACACAGTCTGTTGTAAAGGACTAGGGAGTTAAGTTGGATACTGTCATGAATATGAGCCAACAGCGAGCTCTTTTGACAAGTAGGATACGTGTTGTACTAGGTCACCTTAGAATGGTGAACATGGCTTGCAAATTAAAGGAAGCTGTTATCCCCCTCTGGGGTCAGGGGTTCTTGATAGCGTTGCACTTGGAGTAATGTATCTGGTGTGGGACCATCCCAATTCAAGAGGGATGCAGATAAACTTGAGAGGATCTCAAAGATCTCCTCTCTGGAGGAGTCTTGGAGAACTGCCAAGGGGGTCAAGGACACAGACCATACACCTGTGTTGTGAAGAGAGGTTGAGGGATCTGGGCTTGGTTAATGTGGTGAAGAGAAGAAAAAGTGGCATCTAATAGCTTCCTGCAGCTATTTCACAGGCAGTCACAAAGATGACAGAGCCTAATTGTTCTTACTAGTATTAGATTATATAATAAAGGACAATGGCCACAGCAGGGAAATCTTTTTCTACAAAAGTAATGCAGCACTGAAATAGGCTGCCCAGATATGTTGGAATCTTTCTCTCCTTGGAAATTTTCAGTATCTGGCTGAAAGGTGAAGGTGAAGACTTACCTAGCTGGCTTGTTTTAGAGCTGATGATAATCTCCTGCTTTGAGAGAGAAGGTAACTAAGTGAACTTCAGAGCTTCCTTCCAACCATGATTTCTATGGATATGATGCCATAAATTTTAAAATGTATCTACCTTTTTTTCAGGAATTTGGCTGGGTGTGGAATGGGATGATCCTCAGAGAGGAAAACATGATGGCTGCTACGAAGGGACACAGTACTTTAAGTGCAGGTGAGTTGATTCACAGCTTTGGCATGTCTAGACATTGGCATTGACTAGATGGTCATGGGAAAATGCCCTATTGCAATTTTTAGGGCAAACCCTTCTATCATCAGTTAGGTGTTATTAAAAAGATCATAGTTCTGAGTGCAGTGACTAGCTAAGCCATAGAGACTGTTGCATTGTTATTAATCTGGTTACAAGTATTAGAATATGGTTAATACTTAAAAAATACAAGTTATGTTTTCAGATATATGTAATAAAATGGAATTTTTGGATGTTAGTAATATTATCTTTGGTTGGTTTTAGAACTTCTACTTTAGTTAGGAAATCGGTAGTTCCCACTAACATTCCTTAGGTAATTCCAAAGTGAAATACTGGTCCATATTAACTGTCTCAAACACAGTCTGAGTTTGGACTTAATGTGACCTGCATTTATCTTGTTAAGGGAAAATACCAAGTTCCTATTAATTATTTGGGTTGTATTTGTATCACTCAGGAATTAAGTATGTTCACTGCATATACTACATGCAAAACATAGTGTAGCTGTGTGGGGTTTTTAAGTATATACATGAATTACATTTAAGTGTAAAGATTTGAGCACTTAACATTTTTGAAATTGTGGAATACAGGATTTTAGGGTTGACACTCACTGCAGCAAGTTGTTGATTTCCATGTCAGGGGACACTGCAACAGCTAAAACTTTGTGAGTTAAATAGTAACTGGATGAATTCATAAAAGAAAAGTCATCAAGAGCTCTTAAACACTACAGACTGCTAGCTCAGTAAATTCCTGAGTATGGAAGTGGTGAAGGATAAGAGAACAAAATCTCTTCTTTAGAAAAACGTGTATAGACTCTTGGTGTTTTAGCAACCATTAGCATGCTTCCAGGAGATGAGATCTCAGATAGTGATCTCAATTCTTGAGGTAAGAATCAACTCTTTGAGTGAAGCTGCATATACCTGTAACAAATGTAAATGTGGTCTTTAAACATGTTCTTAGACTACTTGTTCTTTGTACTCTGCTTTTTTCCGATCAGAAAAAGACCTTCTGGAGTCTAAGAGAATAAATAGTAGTTCTAGCAGTCCACCATGACAAATAGACATAAATTCCAAATTTGTAATTCTAGTACCAATTGTGAAGATATAGGCAAACTTAAGTAAAAAATGGTTACCTTATTTTACCAAAAGGATGCTAAAAAAACCCAGCAAAACCCTCCTACAACGTAAAATGTTACCTCTTTACTACTACTTAGGGAGGGAATAATGTTCCTTTGTCTATGTATATACATGTATAAGAAACATAAAATTTCTATTTTTGTTCCCTAAACCTTATCATGAGTATCCTTTGCCTACAAGCTTACTTTGCTCACTCCCTAAATTCTGATAAGCAGAAGCAGTTGATCAAGTAGCTTGTACTGTAAACAAATGCAATGGAAGGACTTTTTAAATTATTTTTAGGGCAATTTTAAAAATAAAGCTTTAAAAATATATATCTTTCAGAGTGACATTTGAAAATAGGACCATAAGAGGAAAATAAAACTGAATTTGAGATTCTCACTACCAGAGGATAATTTTTGTAGTCCTTATCTGAGACAGTAGGTCTGCTTACAGCTATGTGTGATCTCTATAGTAAGTTTTTTTAAAATATGACCTAAACTTTTATATTTCATGGCAGTATATTTATCTGGGTCATACATTATGTGGTGATAATTAAGCTTCTTAAGAATATGAAAACCAAAGAAAAAACCAGCCATATTTCAAAATATGCTGACATCATGAGCACATTCATGAACTCTGGATCAGCTAGAAATGGCAGTGCATACTCTAGTGACATTTTTGTGGGTTCTTTTCCTTGATAATAGCAACTTGTTTTTTAATAACTGAGGAAGCTATTATTTTAGCTGTCAGCTGCAGTAGTCTATGATGTAATTAAAATACGTTCTACAGTCCTATGAGATAAAGGAGGAGTACTCAAGCCTTAAAGCAAAGTTAAAATTTGTATACAGCTTTTGAAACATGAGTATGTTTTCAAAGAGGTTCTCGTCCCACAGACCCATTCACAGTTACATGCATGTGCTCTCCTGGGAGATGTGGGTTACAAGCACATGCTCCTCCCCTGGGAATGCCAGTGCCTTAGCTACACACAGCTCCTGTGGGAGACATGGGTGCTCCAGCTTCCGTATTCCTGCGCTGCTTCTTGACATCTATTAACACATATACTGGTAGAAAGCACCTCTGAGGTCACATGTGCACACTGAGATGTGGAGCACATACGTTGCTCCTCACAATGTCTGTCCTTGCTGGGCACAGGCTCACCTCATCATCTGACCAGGAGGCAACTCTGACTGGCCAAGGCAAAAATGTGCTGCTGGTGGGGTGACTTTTGATAGCATCAAACCAGGTTTTGCCTGCTGCTCTGGTACCCTCTTCTTTCTCCACGCAGTTATTACTGTTCAAGCTTCTTTTATGCTTCCCATCAAGTGGAGTGTCCTCTCACCCCTCCATTAATCTGGCAGAGGGGTCATCTTCCTCACTAGCCCTCCTCTCAGTCAGTTTTGGGTATTCCATTTAAACATAGCATTTACACAGGCACTGCTATTATAGCAGCTGATTTTATCCATGCCATTTTGCTGAGGGAGATGTGTAGATTTCCCAGCAGTAGATGAACATACTTTTCTGCTTACGTGACAAGATAGGTGTAACATTCTGCTGTATCACACATTTAGAGTACTTTGAATCATAATTATCTCCCTGCTAGAGAATGTTTTGTTCTTCCTATATCACTTCCCAGAGGAATCCTGATATTTCAGCAGATCCTGGAGCTAGAGGCATTGACCATATTGAATTGTAATCTACTTCTCCAGGTTTGACTTTGACAGCAGGCCGGAGAAATGGAGGAAAATATAGTAAAACTTGTTTCTGTGATGTTTCCAGATTGGCAGAATTGCAATTGCTGCTCAGATCTTTATGGCCTTTTTTTCACCTTTGTGTTATTAAGTTTTCTTCTGGCAGTAACTTTGACTTTTGCATATTTGTGGAGTCCTGAAATGCCATGGCAAAGGCATTACATGTTTTCATTTTTTTTCTTCTTCACTTCTTCACTTATAAAATATGAGTTTTATAAGAGTTTATAAGTATAGAGAGCAGTTGTGACCAAGTGTATGTTGCTGTTTGCATAAATTTTATGTTCCTGCCCAACAGAATCATAGAATTTTTTAGCTTGGAGAAGACCTTTAAGATCATCAAGTCTATCAACTTGGCCACCATGTTCACCATTAAACCATGTCCTCAAGTGCCATAACCACATGTTCTTTGAACAGTTCCAGGGATGATGACTCCACCACATCACTGGGCAGTCTGTTCCAATACTTTATGACCCTTTCTGCAAAGACATTTTTCCTAATATCCCATCTCAACCTCCTTGCCCACACTATTGCTGATACAGGCCAGGATGCCATTGGCCTTCTTGGCCACCTGGGCACACTGCTGGCTCATGTTCAGCCACTGTCAACCAGCACTCTCAGGTCCTTTTCTACCAGACTGTGGTGCTGGACAGGGCTATTGTGACCCAAGTGCAGAACCTGGCACTTGGCCTTGTTGAACCTCCTACAACTGGCCTTGGCCCATCAATCCAGCCTGTCCAGATCCCTCTGCAGAGCCTTCTGACCCTCCAGCAAATCAATACTTTCATCCAACTTGGTGTCATCTGTGAACTTGCTGAGGGTGCACTCAATTTCCTCGTCCAGATCATCGATGAAGATATTAAACAGAACAACACTGAGCCCTGGGGAACCCCAGTAGTGACCAATCAACACCTGGATGTGCCTCCATTCACTGCCATTCTCTGGGCCCAGCCATCCAGCCAGTTTTCTACCCAGCAAAGAGTACACCCATCCACACCATGGGAAGCCTGTTTCACCAGGAGAATGTGAGAAATGGTGTCAAAGGCTTTACCAAAGTCTAGGTAGACAACATCCACAGCCTTTCCCTCATCCCCTTGTGGGTTACCTGGTCACAGAGGTAGATCAGGTTGGTCAAGCAGGACCTGCCTTTTGTAAATTCCCACTGCCTGGACCTGATCCTCTGGTTGTCCTGTACATGTTGCATGATGTCACTGAAGATGATCTATCTGTTCCATGAAAGAAGAATATCTGTTTATATTAAATTAGGCTGGTTTACCTTCAAGAATGACAGATTGATCTCCAGGAATATCTACTTAGAGCACAAACAAACTCTTCAAATATGGGAAAGATGTCAATAACATTTTAGTGTCTATGAAGAAAAAGTGATTGCCATTTAGCAAAGGGAGAATGCATTCCCAAGATTCTTTTTAGCCTGAGAAGGTTTCAGTTAGGAAGCTTTGACTGTTTCCCTGTGTGTCACTGTATCCATCAGAGACTTCTGCTCTCTGCTGCCGTAGAACTGTGTTGAAGCAAAACTGTTGTCTCTAACCATTGTTCAAACAGGTCCTGTGCACCAGCAGAACCTTAAGATAGCGTCTGGAACTGCAGATGTCTCTTTGTCTTTCCTTGTTTTGTGAAAGCTCCAACTCAGCTTTCATGTCTGCTTAAGGTAAACTTGCAAGAACTTGAAGTTGTTGCTGACGTTTGCAAAGCTTCTGCTGTTCGGTCAGGAATTTGATACATTATAGCACGTGTTACTTATAAGTGTTATTGGATGCCACAGCTAAAACTTGAAGGGTTTACTTTGCTGCAGTGTGTAGATTCTTCTAAAAGAAGTCTGGTCCGTTGAGCACTTCCCCTAGAAGGAAGAGATCTGTTCAGAGCCTATCTAGAAAAGATGTGCATGAATTCAAGCAGCTACATTTTATGACACCTTATGAGCCCGGTAGTGTATTTGCTCTGGTCATGATGATAATTGCCTGGAGATAATCATTGCAAAACAGTCGGTACTGGGCAAAGAAGCCCTTTGATCCACATTTACTGCCAGGCTGATAAAGCTGAGATCTCCTTGGCTCAGAAGCTTGCTTCTGCAGTCACACAGCTCAAGTGTGTAACTGTTACGGTTTATGTACTCCTGCATTACTCTTCAGGTACCGAGAAGTGTGTGTGTGTGACATTTCCCTAGCATATGAAGAGCCATCACGTACCTGTAACGATAAGCAGTGCCACCACTTTATTTTCCATTAGCAAAGAATGATGCCAAGTTTCCTCTTTATTCAGTGAAAGCTGATAGCTAACCCAAATTCTAATGAATATATTTGAAGTGCCCACCAGATGGGCTGTAATGCTTCAGGCTACTGGATCATGAGTAGGAAGTGTCCTACAAGATGACTTCTGAGGCTGGGGTCAACCTCTCCATTTTAAAAGTCAGTCGGAAGTGTCAGTATTAACCAGAGCCAGCTGGTTGCCAGAGCCCCACTTGGGCAAATGCCTTATTTTCTGCTTAGTGAAATTGGGCCATATCTTCTACCACTTCATTTCCATAAAGTATTTTGTCCTGGCTGCAAGAGATTTTACATACGTGGGAGCAAAATCCCTGTTCTCGGACTTCTGAGAGTTCAGCTTAAATCAGGTTGATCAGTAGTCCACAGGTTCTTCCGTTTCGTGATATGCAATGCAGGATGACTCTTTGGATTAAGGTTTATCTGTTTAGTCCCCAGTTACAGAGACTGCTTGCTAATAGGTGTGCATTTTCATTAGTCCAAGTGCTGTACATTATTTGTTTGATATGTACATACTGCTTGTACAGTTCATATGCCCCAGTGTGAAAGTTAATGCAGGCAGTGTATTTCAGGGAAAATGAATTACAGTGATCTCTCTCCTTGAATCTACAATCATTTTGTCTGAAAATATGTTCCTATTGCAGTCCCTTTTCCTGTCCTTCATGACAGTTCCTGAAAAGGTAGATCAAATTAATAGAATGGAACTGAAAAAGAAACTCAGGCTGTGAAATGGTATTAAATATATGTTAGGTAATATATAAAAGCATGCATCGTACTTTGAAGTGATAGCAACAGGAGAGAGAAATGCTATGATCTTGTGATCAAAACAAAAATAGAAGAGTCTTGAGAGATAAATACACTATAATTTTCCTTTAAATAAAAGGGGCAAGGTAGCTAGTTTCCTTTGTGGTTTTTTTTTCCTAGGGATAGAACTCACTCCTGGAAAGACAATGAGGAAGGAGATGCCAATAGAAGTGGTGACCTGAGAGGACAGAAATGGGCTAAGGAATGGGTATGGTGATAGAGAGACCCAAAGGGGCTTGGCTATGCAGAGATAAATGGCACAACAGGAAGGATGTCTGTGGGCTATCTAGATTAGCTCTGGTGAGAGGGCTGAGGAGAGCAGAGGGAAGAAAGTAGTAGAACTATTGAGTGCATGAGATGGTGATGACAAAATGGAGAGAATCAAGGTGATAGGAAAATGGACATACAGCAGTACCTACAGTGAATTACAGATAGACAAGAGTACGAGGTTTTTTCCAGAGCCCCAGGTAGAATCCTGAAGCTGTTTGACTTAATTAAATACAAAGTGATATACTTTGCAAATAAGAGATGTTATAGTTAAGGTGGTGAAATTGTAATTTACTGTTTTAAGAAGTCATATTAAGAAAGAGTCACATAACATTTAAACCAGTCACATGTTTGCAAGCTATGAAGAACTTCAAAAGGAAAATTCTTAAGAGAAGGTTACTGGATCAAAAATGTAGAGTATTGAAAATGCTTATTGAAAGTGAGAAGTAGATACCAGATTTACATTCTCTACAAGTTTGCCTTTCTGCTTGTTTGGTAGTCATTGCACTCTGAACTCAGTCACTGCAAAACTAGACTGGAAATATTTTGAATGTAAATAATATGTACTTTCTACCCAGATCTTTCTTTAGGATATGAGAGTACTTCTGTAAGTATTAGAAATGTTAATGAATGAAACTAGCACTGGAAATTTCCAGTACTGATTTTTTATGAAAAGAAGTGAATATATGGTGCCCAAGCTATTCCATCTACTTGTAATAGGTCCATAGGACTCACCGTCTCTGTAAGAGACTTTTGAACTTTGTAGCATTATGTATTGCTAAGTAGCCACTTGATGTTTACATGCTGTTTTGAGAAGTTTTATTCACATAAGTGACAGGTAATCATAGCTACCAACTTTTTTCCTGCTGTTTTCAGGCTGATCCTCCTATGAAATCTTCCATCTGCTCTGTGATACCATTTCTATAACTTGTCTCTGCTACTTCATCCTGGATAATGTGTTTCCTTGCTAACTTTGATAGAAACTATCAATGCAATTACATGGCAAGAAATTGTCATGCACCAAAGTTTTTTCAGTGCTCAAGAAAAAACAAGAAACTTCATAGAACTGTGTAGAACATACATTATTAGCTGGATATTTCTGTTGAATATTCAGTTTCAAAATTGTTACCAAGTTAGTATCAGAAATTTTAAAAGTTTGAGTTTGTATAAGAGTTCCAAGTGCTACAATTTGCATCTTGTGTCATTTGTGTGGATGGAAGGACAAGGTTGCTTTCTCTTAGAATTACAAGGGAATTATGCAAGTCAAATATGATGTAGCAACGACTATCCTGAGTATTCCTGTGGGCCTTAGACTGTGATAAGACTCTAGACACATTTGTTGTATGATTTAGATAACTTGTGTCTATCCATAGGTAGAAACTTAATTTTCTAACAAAACTGAGTTCATAATGAGTTTGAAAACAAAAGAGCAGTTATTTTTAATAATGGCACTGACACTGTGCCATTTGAATTAATGCCACTAATTTTGATGTGTCAATACCTTTGGAGAACTGGTGCCTAGGTTCTCATGGCGTCTCACAATGTGAACTCTTCTGTCAAATACTATAAAAGATACTTTGAAAGTCTTAGCTGGTCTCACTGAGCGGGAACAGTGATGTTTAAAATTAGCCTGTAGAATTGCCTTTTGACTGCTTTCGTTCACAGTATTTTTTTTTTGAAAAAGTAATAATTAGTACTTTTGAGGTTAGTCGTTGTTACTACAACTTTTCATATTTCAACTTTTCCTGGCTCCTCTGTTCTAGGCATCCTAAAGGAGGATCATTTATCCGGCCAAACAAGGCAAATTTTGGAGTAGATTTTCTTACTGCAGTAAAGGATCGGTACGGATTGAATGATAAGCAAGAT